CTCAAATGACTAAAATGTGACTAAGACTATTAAGCGTTTTTGTCTCAAGATTAAGACTAAATCAAAAATGCCTGTCAAAATGAACACTGGTAAGGAATATGGCTTGATTGTGTTGAACTTAAAAGTGTTGATCACTAGAGGGCACTGTACAACAAACTCTAGCCTGAATGATTGTCAATTCACAGCACATTCACTGAGAGGAAAGACCTGAGGCTGAATCCACTCCGAACAAAAGACAAAGATTTCAGTGACACAACAGGATCCTCAACTCGTATATCAGCGGTCCAGCAGAATAAACTCACCTGAAGCCAGTCGAGCTCGAGCGATGGTGGGGGAATCAGGAGGCGGAGCGGGAACAGTGAGGTAATTGTTCATCTGTGATATCTGAAAGTAGAGAGATAAAACCTTCAATGGTGACATTCTGTTAAGACTAATAAAGCACATTCAACCTATCAAGACCACCCATCTTTTTATATCAAATAGCGGCCAACTGAGATGATTTTTAATGGCCAGTGACAGTATAACAATGAATTAAGATGAATTTTACCTCGTTATTATATAAATAGTATGAATTAATAAGGCTATGGGCAGATTTTGAGCTATCTGAGAGTTTAGATGATCTGATAATGATGTTGTATCAGTCGATCATTAACTTCAAACCTTCTTTTCCAGCTCCTTCATTTTCTTCCGTTTGATAAGGATCTCATTCCAGCCGTCCTCGTATGGATCAGCAACCAGAGTGTGTCTGTTGTACGAGCGCAGCTGAAAATACACAAGACAATTTAGTTTGATCCGCGTTAATCACAGAAATAAAGGAAATACAAAAAGAGCAGTTTGAGAACAGGAAGTGGTGAGCGCTCACTCTCTGGCGGGTCCTCTGCAGGTTGGTGCGCAGGATCTTCCTGATCTCTTCCTCACGAGCCTTGGAGAGCTGCGGCAGTGCCCGGTCCTGAGGAGGCTTCTTGGGCTGGATGTTCCTGGAAAACATTTGAGATCAAAATAAAAAAAATTATTATCCTAGAACAAACACAAATTTCACAAAATCTACACACATTCCATGAATTCTAGAAATTCCACACATTCTCCATGCATTACATAAATTCCTTACACCTTCCATGCATTCTACATTCTATATGTATTATATAAACTGCGTACTCTCCACGCATTCTCTGTGCATTATATGAATTCCTCACACATTCCACATGCTATATGTATTTTACAAATTGCATGCATTCCACACATTCTCTAAATTCCCTACATGTTTCACATTCTATGCATTTCATAAATTGCATACTCGTACATTGCTTTACACATTTCACTCTCTATATGCATTCCACACTTTTTATGCATTCCACACATTCTCCATGCATTCTCTAAAGTCCATACACATTCCAAAAATTCCATGTATTCTAGTCGAATTCCACACAACCTCTAAATTCCTTACACATTGTATATGCATTCCATAAATTGTATACATAGCACACATTCTCCAAATTCAACATGCATTCCATAAACTGCAAACATTTCACATATTCTCCAAATTCCTTACACATTGTATATGCATTCCATAAATTGTATACATAGCACACATTCTCCAAATTCAACATGCATTCCATAAACTGCAAACATTTCACATATTCTCCAAATTCCTTACACATTGTATATGCATTCCATAAATTGTATACATAGCACACATTCTCCAAATTCAACATGCATTCCATAAATTGCATTCATTCCACATATTATTCATGCATTATATAAATTCTTTACACATTCCACACATTTAACACATTTTCTAAAGTCCATACACATTCCAAGAATTCCATGTATTCTAGTCGAATTCCACACATTTTCTAAATTCCTTACACATTCTATAATGTAATCCATCAATTGCATACATTCTACATACATTACATAAATTTTTTACACATTCCACACTCTACATGCATTCCATATCCTGCATGCCTTCCACACATTCTCCATGCATTCCATACACACCCAAAAAAATCCATGTATTCTCACCAAATTCCACACATTCCATGAATTCCACACATACTCCAAAACATGCATATTAATTCCACACATTCTTCATTCCTTCTATAACATCCCAAATGTGCTATAATCACTCCTTAAATCCAATGCACTTTCCATACACCTTATATAAGCATTCTACAAATTCCATATATTCTATTTGCATTCCATGAATTCTAAAACAGATCCTGATTATGGAGGTTGGAAGCACTCACTGCATGGAGACGGTGGACGGCAGGGCCGAGGGAAACTTGGCTCCGCCGCCGCTCTCCACCAGCTCGATGGCCTGCTTCATCTCCATCTTGTGGTAGAAGGCGATCAGCTGCGGTTCTTTGGAGCGCTCGCCTGCTATCAGGCACTTCTTCACGTACTTCTTATTGAACCGGTTCAGCCTGGAAATGAGAAGGAAAAGGTGAAGCTTTCATATGATCGTGGTTATTTTTATCCAGATAACAAACCCTGGCATTCAGTGTCATTACGGCAGAGAAACACTGAAGCTTTGTCTGGAATCCATGTGGAACATACTGACACAGTGCATTGAAATGAACCAAACTACATGTGGTTCTCCATATTCTTTCCAAATTTGATCCTAAAACTCACTTTCTCTGCTGCAAAAGATCCAGACTGTAAACTCAACCAACTAAACAAAAAAACACGTCTGGTTTTAAAACATCATCCAAATACCAAGACCAGACATAGGAATCGTTATGATTTCATATAGACTTCAAATAATCTTAAAATCGCACACAGAAAAGCCAAATTTGACTTTGAGTTACATACGTACTTGTCCTTCCAGTGATGATGTCCGTAATGTCCGCAGATGTCCTCGATGCCGGTTAGCAGATGGTCCAAAAACTAAAGACAATGAAATGACAATAGATAAGCTGTTTAGGAAACATAAACTACAATATCAATCAATAATGCTGAGATTATCAGTTAAACGGAAGCTGCAGCTGAACATGATGTTGATAATGAACATTAAATTGGACAGAAGAGAGATTTCTGCCAGTCACTCACAGCATTAACATGATAAGACGCTCATGCAAATAGGTGTTTCCATAGCAACAATAAGCTTTATGAGTGATGAATAAATGCCAATTTGTGGGCAAAATGTTCTGTACGGAGTTTTGTGGAGTGGATCCAAGCTCATGTCTGGCATACAAACTGCCACCTGCTTTTTCTAAAGAATATTCATATTAAATTCATATAATATAATAAATATACAGTATATGTTAAGTTAAATAATATATTTCTACATTTAAAGTTGTACAAGAACATACCTCATACATCAGAGAATGAATAGATACTCTTATTTTAATTTACTTTGTCAACATTTATGTTCATATTTAACTTTTTACATAAGAATGTATTCACTAGCATATTATTTGTTGCTGTGATCTCAAATCTAGTATGGAGAATAGTGATATTTCACTGGGGTTTTTCTCATCTGAATTGTTGTTATCATTATAAATGTTCTCAACGCTCCCAGCTATGGACAACCATTCATTTAATCTGCCCATTTATAACGGAGACGCCTCTGTTTACTGAGCACTGCACTCATGCTGTTGATGCCAAAACATTTACTGAGGCTCAGTGTGATTATTAGGGAAGCCTTTCTCCTGAACAAAAACACACGAGTCACTGCTTTAACGTACTGTGAGTGTTTGATTAGCCAGAGTTGTAAGAATTACATCTTTATATAATGTTATACTGTTGGTGCACACATTGTCATGCAGTTCCTTAAAGGAGACATATTATGCCCCTTTTTACAATTTGTAATATAAGTCTCTGGTGTCCCCAGAATGTGTCTGTAAAGTTTCAGCTCAAAATACTCCACAGATCATTTATCAGCGCTGTGGGTGGAAACTTACAGATTAAGGGGCGGTAATATTATAATGAGATCCCTTTGCCACGTCACCAAGGGAACGAAATCAGACTCGCTCGTTTTCTCAGACGCTTGCAGAAAAAGGCTAACCAAAACAAAGTTACTGGGTTAATCTTTTTCACGTTTCCTTGGTTGGTAGATGCACCCTGGAAAAGTCAGATTTTCATGATATGTCACCTTTAAGTGCTCTGGGTGGTTGCTAAGGTGTTGCTAGGTGATTGCTTACAGGCCCTCAAGTCTCTATGATACATACAGTCTGATTTTAAAAGGCTGCATTACATTGTTCTGATATTAAGGTGAAGATTAATTTTACCTAAAGAAAATTACTTCTATTCATAGGATGATTAAGACTTTTTGCATTGAGACATTTTCATGGAAATTAAACGTTTCCTGCAAAATTGTCATTAATGTGTTGCAACATTTTACTTGAGTTTGTCATTCCCAATTCTTGACAGTAATTCTCTTCAGATTCTATGTTTTACAGTATTTTTTTGAAACTTTAATTTACTTCAAATTTAAAGTATATACTAGTAAAGTATATTCTAACAAAAATAAAGCAATTTACAATTATGAGACTTTTTGCATTATGGTAAAGAGAATGCTTAATTGTCATGAAAATAATGTCACAATGCAAAAATGGGGTTCATTTTCTTCATACAAAATTTGACAATTTTCCCCCTGTGATTTAGCTGTGCAATGTTACCTGGAAACATTCTTATTCAACTAAAGAGTCTATTTTTAAGATAATTCAGATTTCTTGCATGGCGTCATTATTTTCATGACAATTAAGCACATTTTCCTGCTAAATTTTCATTAATGTTTGACATTCCCAATTCCTGATGGTGATTCTCTTTAGATTTTCCTGATGGCATTTACCATTTTAATAAAAAAAAAATCTTATTTTTAATTCAAATCAAAATATATTTTTATTTTATTATTATTTTTATATTATGGTTCAAAAATATCATAGTGGTTTACGAATGGGCTTAATTTTCTTAATTTTTTTTTCAAATATTTGTTCAAATATGACCTGGAAACATTCTAGGCATTTTATGTCTAAACAAAGACACCTGACACCTGTCATTCTAAACACATCAAGCTGTATTTCTGAATAAAACTGTGACTGTACCAGTATGTGACCAGCAGGTGGCACTCACACACACTCATCTTCAGTAGTACTGGATGTTACACAAACCCAAACAAGAGAACGAAATAATTAACTCATCTAAACCAGCCCTGCTTTATTGTGAACAAGACTGTGTAATCGAATCTATTCTGGACTGGCAGAATGTTGGGAAAGCATCAAATATTCCTGAATCACAGATGGGAGAAACTCAGAGATGAGCAGCACCTGTGTGTGAATCTCCTCATTAATAGATCGCTTCGTTTCCTGTTTCTTCTTCACCGCCAGGAGGTCCACCAGAGGTCGAATGGTCATGCCCTGCCAAAACAAAGAGAGAAGAGCGGAAATTGATGACTGCTCACAGATGGTCCTATTTAAATGCAAACGATACAGCTTTAGTCGTTTAAAAAATTGGATAACATAAAAAAGGATGGCACAATGCTAAGCAAATTGTTAAGCAAACCACTTATCAATGTCATCTTGAAAAATCAATATTTTTCTCACATGCATTGGCCCCAAAAAAAGGAGGTAAACCTAAAATTGCATGAGTCACTGCATTAGAAATAAAATAAAATAGCACTATTGTCACGCAAAACATTTCTTAAACACTTCTAAAACATCTTTCACTGCATTTGATATAGTTGCATTGCACCGCATAAAATAAAATTCAAACTATGCAGTGTGACATGGTTTGTGTGTGTGTGTGTATTTGAGACAAGAAAATGGGAATGTGATGGGAATAGAAAGGCATTTTACAACTCTTGTTCCGCTAAATAAATAAAATACGAAACCTTCTGACAACTAAAAGAATTGCATGTCATGACTAGCGAGCAATTAGATTAACACGCAGTGGGCGGCACCTCCTGTCCTGAGCTGTAATTCATAGCGTGTCCTGGCTTGTGCATGCATGATTATTCATACTACAGTGTGCTGAGCAATGGTGAAGGACAGAGGGGTGACTGTGACTGCAGTGTTTGTTACACTGGCGCTGTTTCTACGTGAAGAAGGTTCTTCCTCAAGGTCAGTCAGAGGCTGGCAGAGATCAAGATACCACCGCATGCAGCAATAGCAAATGCACCATCACATCTGACACTGCAAACGGTCTCCACCTTCCACTTCCTGCGAACAGCACAAACTCTATGCAGCGAGATCACAGATCTTTTGATAGATTTTAGATAGATCTGCATATAAAATAAAATGGATAAAAAACAGATATCATATGCATTGTCCCCAAAAGAGGTAAACCTAAAATTGCATGAATGTCACTGCTTTAAATTTAACTATGCATAATAAATAATTAACATTATATTTAAATTAAATTAAATTAAATTATTATATTATAAATGACTATATTTATATAATAAATGTTGCACTGTATAATAAAATAAAATAAAAGCACAATGGTCAAGCAAACCATTTCTAAAAACAGCTCTGTCACTGCCTTAGATATAACTGCATTGCACTGCACTGGATAAATAAAATAAAATAAAATAAAATAAAATATGAGGAGAGAAGACTGTTTTCAACATGTCTTCAAAGACATTTGTTAGGTAAGAAATGCAAAAAAAAAACAAAACAAAAAAACTAACATGAAATCATAATTGACTGCATTTACTTTCTTAACACGTTTTTATTATTAAAAAGGTTTTGTCTTGACTCTTTACTTTTAAAACAAGGCCTCAGTTTGATATTTTGATTAAATCTAATCCATTCATACAGTTTAAAGTGTAAAAAGTAAAGTAAATACTTTTTTGGGGTCACTTTATGTGACGCATTACTACAGAAAGAAACCACAACACAGACAATCACAAACACGTCGCAAACATGAAACACAGGTAGGGTAACACAAACCTCGCAATTTGAGACCTTCCCTTACGTCCTTGTTCAAATGTGTGAATAGAGACACAGTATTTAAACCTGACACCAACCAACAGCAGCGCACAGAGCAGAAGACAAACAATTCCTCTTCCAGCAGCCTCCACAAAGCAGAGAAAACCTCCTGAAAATTTCCACTGTAATCAATTCTCCACACTAAATCACCGAGTGCCTGACAGTGTCGTCTTGAGTCCCAGCGATGAGAGAAAACACCTCTGACACATTAAAACCTCAGGGGTTTACTGTTTCTGCAGGTTTTAGGAAGGTAAATTGAAGACGTTTTAAGATTAAGTAAAGAAAATGTAAGGAATAAATTAAACGGTGCAAAAACATTATCAATATGGTCTCTAAATGCAAAATTCTTGTATTAGCAACACTTCAGAAAAGTAAATACTTATGATATAAAAACTTGCATGTAAAAACTTATGGCTACTACAATATGGAAATAACTTTTATTGTACTTTCTGATCTTACTGCAAAAAACAGTTCTTCCTCTGTATTTTAGTCATTTTCCAGTGCAAATGTATTTTACGACATAAAATCAAGAAGCAAAATGAAGCAAATCTATCCATATCCATATAAGTGCACACATACATAAATCATATATTTTTTTACTTTTAATTACATTTTTTTAATTTTAGTTTTATCTATCTACTTATCTTAAATGTACAAATAAAAATTGCATTTATATATTATATATAAAAAAAGTGTATATCAAATATTTTTACTGAACTTTTAATTTGTACTTTATTTTAGGTTTATATAATATTACACATATATACGCAAATGTATTTTACGACAAAACCAAGAAGCAAAATAAGATTAAGAGAAATTGATCAAAATGAAGTAAGTTTATGATTAAACAAGAACAAATATCTGCCAATGAGCTCAGAAAAATCTACTTAATTCCCCAAGTTTTGGTTCCCCATTAACAGATATTTGCTGCTCTTTAAGCATAAACTTGCTTCGTTTTGTTCAATTTCTCAAAAAACAGGACTTTATATGTTCAATCTGCATCTCAAGTAAATGTGTCTTGATTTAAGGATGTTTAGATGTTTGTATTGGAAAACACGACAAAAGTACTAAGGAAGTAAATTATTTTGTCCAATGTATGCAAAATTTAATGCCATGACTTTCTGCTCTGATTTAAGACCTTTTTAAGACCCACAGAAACCTTGCAAAAACTCATGAGGAGATTACAATAGATCTGCAAAGCCGTTTTTATCTTTAACTTGAGGAGAACCATGATGCACTGACCCTGAGCTACTTGGACACGCTAAAACAACTCCAAAACATCAGCCACCATCAGTGAATCCACGATACAAACATGTGAAGATCTGGATCTCATCGTTTCTGTGTATTGTACACAGACTCTGTGTTGGTCCTGCTCTTTTGTAGCACTGTTTTTGAAGCCTCACGTTACAATATCAATCATTCAAAACAGAAACCAAGAGGGTTACTTTCAGGCCATTTTCAGCAGCTCATGCATATCTCAGAGCCATCGGGGCTCACAAAGAGCCGAGAGAGACAGAAGAAGAAGAAATAATGGTGTAAAATGCTCACTGCAAAAAAAACAAAACAAACCATACGAGAGCGTTCGATAATCCAGCAGCCAGTAAAACCTGATGGAGCGCAAGACGCTTCAATAACCAAGTCTGAGGCCATTACATCAATATATCAAACACAAGGTTGATGAGTAGCTAGGCCTGCACTAAATTCTGAAAGGAAATGAAATTCCACAGATTTCACTTTATGATTTTTAAACTAATTTCAGCAGAATTTTAAACACAAAAATATACACTTTAAGATAATTGTTTCATCATATTTGAAATAACTTCACAGAATTTCATTGATTTTCATTTTCAAATTCATTCCGCAGGATTATGTAAATTTTTGCCTAATCAGAGCTTGTGTTGGGCCAATTTAATAATTCTTTTTTCACAATATTACATTGATGCATCCTTGCATTGACTTTTTATAATTTATTATTTAATTGATTTTATAAATAAATAATTTTTTTTAATTTAAAGTAAATTATATTTTATATAATATTTTTATATAATATATCTATATCATACCGTATACCGTGATAAAAGCATGAGCAATTAATCGCAACATGAAAATTTGATACCGGCATATCCCTAATATATACACACACACACACACATATATATATATATACATATACACAAACTACACACAATAATACAATAAATATAATAAAAAGCGTTTATTATATCAAATATTTTTACTGAACTTTTAATTTCTACTTTATTTTAGGTTTATATATAATATTACATGTGCATATATTTATATATAAAGCGTGTGTATATCAAACATTTATTTTTTATTTTATTTTATTTATTTATGAATTATAACAACTTGAGAGGCGGTCACTGACCTGCACAAACACCGTGAAGAAGATGACAGTGATGATGGCGGTGAGGAACATGTTTCTCATGGGGAAGTGTTCAGTCTTCAGCAGGTAGACCAGGGAGAAGGCGATGGCTCCTCTCAATCCTCCATAAGCTATGATAAATTGGTCCTTAGAGGTGAGTTTGACGATACGGAACTTATTGATCACGAAGGTCAAGCCGACAACACCTTTGAATGAAGTACAACATTAATTAAACACAAGCATTGAAAAATGTGCCACCATTCACAACCTCAGGGCATTCACCAAATAGAACAGCTTCTTTAAATAGACAAACAGAAGTCATTAAGAAAGAAGTAAAATGAACCTTCCTTCCTCTCCCTCTCTCTCTCTATATATATATATATGTGTGTGTGTGTGTGTGTGTATGTGTGTGTATATATGTATGTGTATATGTATGCATGTGTGTATATATATTAGGGCTGCCACTAACGACTATTTTTATTTAGACTAATCTATCGACTAATTTGTCGATTAATCTAAACGATTAAATTCCCACAAAAAAAATAAATTTTACTTAAGAATATTTTGAACTCCGACTGGATTCGTCTGAAAGAAGAAAGTCATATACACCTAGGATGACTTGAGGGCGAGTAATTTATGGGCTAATTTTCATTTTTGGGTGAACTAACCCTTTAAAGATGATGGACCTTCCCTGAAGCCATGACGCAAATGCACACAATCGCAGTCACACCCCAGATACGGAAGTGAGACTTACTGAGTTATACTTCTAGTGAAATCTCGTGAATAATTAGCAGATTCAGGAGGTCCTGCTAAACTTCACTCACCCAGAACACGCGCCACCAGGCAGAAAATGAGGGTCGCCATCACGAAGGTCCAGTTCCACTCGTGCGGCCCGGCCACGGTCGACACTCCCAGGAAGATGAAGATGAGCGTGTCGCTCACGCTGCTCCACATCTTCAGGAAGTACTTGATGGTGGTGTGGGATTTATGGGAAATGTTGGCCTCCACGTAGGGACGCATGACGGCACCACATGCGATTAGCCTGGAGACAGAAGATTCATCTACGTTACTGACCTGACAATACTTCCTCCATATCATCTGATATCAAGATTTATCAAAATACTCATTTCATACCTTTAATAGGGATGTTTGTTAGACCTCCAGAATCAATTTAATCATAACTCTGTTTACAAGTAAACTCCACATTTAATTTTCCCCCACAAATTCTGTATTTTCCTTCTTTTTTTTTTTTTTTGTAGATGTGTTTTATGATTTATTACAAATTTATCATCACATATGGAATCTAATGAAATTACTTCATAAAAGTTTTGTAATCATTCTTTTAAAATCAAAAATATTTTGTTTGCTTAATATTACTTAAAAATAATAACAACAACAACTATAAAAGTAGGTGTTTCTAATAATAATAATAATACAATGGTTCCTAATGAAATTCATAAAAACATCTGACAATTAATTTACAGCAAAACACTGCATTTTTATTTTTTGTAAAAATAAGGCGCTGCACAACTGAACCTGTATACCATATAAATTAAAACGGATAAAAATATTTTGTTGGTATTACATTTCTTTAAAAATAATAATAATAATAATAATAATAATTACTTCTCAAAATGTATTTATTTATTTATATTATTTTATTTTCTGTCAAATAAGGTGCTGCACAGCTTGTATTCAAATATGGGTGAAAAAATATTTTGGGGTTCTATGATATTCCTTAAAATAATAATAATCATAATAATAATAATAATAATAATACAATATAGGCCCGGTTTCACAGACAGGGCTTAGACTAAGCCAGGATTAGGCCATAGTTCAATTAGGACATTTAAGTAATTTTTATAAACGTGCTTAGGAAAAAACATTACTGGTGTGTAGGGTTGGGTATCGAAAACTGGTTCCATTTTAGAACCGGTTCCAAATTTCCAAGAACCGGGTATTCAATAAGATGCGTGCATTTTGATTCTGCTTAACGATTCCTGCGCTCGCATTTTAATGTGATTAAAAACGATTTAAGTACAGGAACGGAAAGATCATGCGCCCTGTTTACGTGCAGCGCACACAAAGCGCAAGCGCGAGCACAGAGAACAGAGGTCGCGGTACGGGTTCCCGGTTTGTGTCCGTTCTCGAACCGTTCCGTGTATTTCCACTGTAGAAAAGGTTGTTCCGGGCCGAAACTGACTTCTTTCATATTTGTCGACCAATATGCAGAAAACTACGTCAGTCTAGATCATCATAAACACAGCCGTTTTCGTCTTACGTGAACGTAAACAGATGAGAAAGAAAACACACATGTACAGTATTTTTAGATCTGCGTGCGTTCGGTGTTAGAGAGACAGCAACTAGAGCCCTGCACTTCAGCCCGGGCCCGACGGGCCCCGACTTTTTTTACGCCCCTCGGGCCGGGCTTCGGGCCAATTTTCACGTCATAGTTCAGACGCGGGCCGGGCCTCAGGCCTGTTTTAGGCTTCTCCTTATTTTTATATTTTAGACATCCATCAATTAGTGATGAAAAAAATTGCCGCGCTGGTGGAAACAACACGAGACCGTGCTAGCGGCTCGACGGTGTTTATTGTCCCGCCAGCAGCAGTATGGTGTTACCATAAATGTGACAGGGGGAAATAGTAAGGAGATATTTGAGTAATTTACTAATAAACTAGTGTTTTCTGAGTCGGTGTCGCAAGGATGAATTTAATATTTGAAATTTATATTAATCTAGTTGTTTTTGCTGTGGTATTTTTTTTTAAAGCATGGGCAAAATTCCTCTTGCAGTGTTCTGTAGGCTGCTGATTTTTGCTCGTGTTATTCAGCTGCAACAGAATGCTTTGTAAAAAGATAATAAATGTTTGACATCTAAATGTTTGACTTAATTTTTTTTAATATTGGATTTTTTATCTTATTGGAATCGAAACTAGGAATCGATAAGAATCGGAATCGGAATCGGAATCGATAAAATTCAAACGATACCCAACCCTACTGGTGTGCATCTTGAGACAAAACAAAGGCACTGATATATTTTAAGATCAGTCAGTGCAAGTTTCTTTCAGTTGAAACAGCTCAGACTTACATTTTAGTCTAGGACTAGGCTTAAGCCTTGTCTGTGAAACCGGGGGATAATGTTGCAATAAATGGTATTTATTATTATTATCATTATTAACTACTTTGACAAGTTTTACTATATAATAGTAATACATTTCTGTCACAATTTGCCCTACAGTCAGTTGGTCCAAGGGTTGAATTTCGACAAGCCCTTGCATAATCACACCATGCCAACAATTTGCATCACTTTCAATAAATCATCAAAATACATCAGCATACACCCTTTAAAATGAACATCTGGATTTCCCTCATTTAGCTCGACGTGTGAGGAACTAATTCCACCTACAGTCGAGTCTCAAAGGTGTCAAATTAGCTGAAGTGACTGGGTTTTGTCTGAAAGTGGAGGCAGTGCAGGATTATGGGGTGTGATTCAATGTCTAACTATCTCCACCTGATAAACACAAAGTTAACAGAGGAGGGTCGCGTGAACCGAACTGACGCAGTTTCACCTCTGATTGGGATCATGATCAGGGCTGATCATTTTAACTCCTGGGCTTGTGAGTAGTGTTGCTTTCGTCAACGAAAATTATGACTAAACTCAGTTTTCGTCGACTAAAACTAGACTAAAATGCTCAGACTTTTAGTTGACTAAAACTTGACTAGACTAAAAAGAGTATGAACGTGACTAAAACTAATAAAAACTAAAATGACAGTTTCACACAAAGACTAGACTAAAACTAAAATTAAAACAGGCCGCCAAAAGCAACACTACTTGTGAGGCTCCTCCTGTTCTCATTTGTTCCTCTTTTAAAAGGGCATCTGTGACAACTCTTCCTGTGACCGCAGTGAGCCGTGCCTTCAGGAGCAATGCTTTGTATAATAGGCTATTTCACAGCTCAAGAAAAAGAAATGTGCTGTTTTATAGAGCAATAAGCATTCTAGACTGTGTGTCATTTTTAGATAAAATGACTTTTTTTATACAAGGGTAAAAAGGTACATCATGTCAAGCAAATGCATGCATTAATGTCAAGATCTTGTAACTCAAAGGGTAGATACGAGATATTGTTGCTAAGGTCATTCCAAGATACATAAACTCATATGTAAAACAGTTAGAAAACAATCTGCCAAATGCATAAAATGTAAACTACCATTCAAACAGTGGTGTCGAGTTTGAAAGTTCTGATTTTTTTAATGTTTTTGAAATAAGTCTCTTATGCTCAACATTTATTTAGTCAAAGATACAGTAATAACAGTAATATTGTGAAATATTATTACAATTTCAAATAGCTGTTTTCTAAGTAAATATATTTTAAAAATGTAATTTATTTCTGTGATCAAAGTTGAATTTTCAGCATAATTACTCCAGTCTTCAGTTTTTTCAAATTCTGTGTTTTCTATATTAAATTCTATTTTTTCTGGATTATTTGTTTGATGATTTACTAGAAATGTATCATCAAATAAGGGTGTCTAATGAAATCACTAAATAAAACTTTAACAATTTAATCAGTCTTTTAAAATCAGATGAAAATATTACAAATTTACAACAAAACATTTTCAGGCAAGGTGCTGCACAACTTTAAAAAACAATAATACTGCAACGGTTTCTAATTAAATTAAAACATAAAACTTTTTTTTACCTTTTTTTTAACAATTTAATAAATATTTTAAAAGTAATCAAATATAACAATTAAAACCAAGCATTTTATTTTTTTGTCAAATAAGGGGCTTTTATTATCAATGTTGAAAACAGTCGCGCTGCTTCATATTTTTGAGAAAACTTTGATGCATTTTTTTTCAGGATTCTTTGATAAATATAAAGTTCAAAAGAACAGCATTTACATGAAACTATTTTATAACATTATAAATGTATTTACCGACACTTTAAATCAATTTAATGTATCCTTACTGCCTTTAATTTTTTTCAAAAAGAAACAAACAAATCTTTAAACAATATTACACCACCCAGCCTGTCCATTTTTAATCGCTTGTTGTAATGGGTGGATCAGTTCTGCAGACCTTGAGACACATTGTGAATCACTGCTTCATCTCCAGGCCTGTCAGAGCTTCAGACTCTTTTTATCATCCACTCGAGCGTCACCAGATCATAACCGAGAGCCTTCTTCAGTGCCGAAGTATTGACCGAGCTCTGACAGCCTGTTACTTACGAGCAGTGACTCCAAGACGCCTTTAGACGATAGATGAGAAAAACCAGCCCTGACCTGCTTCATCTGGCCCTGTTTATTGATTTTATCATTTAGTCAGAAACAGAATACGCTCTTGTGCAATTTTGGAGAGTCCTCTGCAAACATTTTCAAAATAAAAAAAGCCCCATAAAATTACAACTTATTTAATGTTAAATAAATTCAACATGAATGCATGCTCCTGCTCTTTTTTACTCCAAATAAAAAAAATTTTTATGCAAAATTTCACAGAATCCAGAAAAATAAAATGGAAAAGAGATTTGAAGATCTGTTTCCATTTTCATTCTGTGTTTTATTATTTAATACAAATTTATCATCAAAAAATGTGTCTAATGAAATGAATTCAAGCTTTAACAATTGAATCAATCTTTTAAAATGTAATCAAATGAAATATAATTAACTAATTGATTAATTTAGCATGTTGCATTTTATTTTGCATCTTATTGTGCACAATTTATTGGTGCATGTTATTCCAAATAAAAACGTTTTAGCAAAATTTAATAATGGTCGACCGATATGTGTTTTTTGACAGCCGATGCCGATATCTTGGAAAGCAGGGTGGCCGATGGCCGATATAAAGCCGATATAATTGTATTTATTTTAATTAATATTTAAGAAATTTGAAATCATTTGAAAATGTAAAAGCAATCGTTATAATACTTTTTGTATACATTTTAATTCCTTTGTTTAACAGTTCTATCTCATTATTAGACAGACTTCTGCCCGTGGACAGAACTGTTAACGACGACAGCGAACAAGAGGGAGAATGTGAGCACTGTGTGTTCACTGCTCAGGTGCTGCCGCTCTCAGCGCCGTCAAAATAAAAGTCCCGCCTCGAACGCATCGGTCAAACAGAAAAACTTATCGGCCGATGCCGATATTTGAAAAATGCCAAATATCGGCCGATATATCGGCCTTGGCGACCACTAAAATGTAATAACTCATTTTAGTAAACAGGGCTATTATAGTTAACTAAAACCATAAAAAACACATTTGCATTAATTTAAATAAAATAAACTTTAACTGAAATTTAAAAAAAAACTTTTTAGTTTTAGTTTAAAATAAACATTTTATTTCAACTAGTTGCCAAGGCAGCTTTTACCATTTTCATGTGGTTTACTTGACTAAAATAACTAAAACTAAAAGTTAAATAAAAATTTATAAAAACTATATAGTCATATTTAAAAGAAAACTAATAAAGATGACAAAAAACGTGAGCTAAAATTTAAATTAAACTAAAGACATAAAAAACTATTTCATTAACTGGAATAAAATAAACTTTAAATGAAATTTAAAAATATAAAAACAAAACGTCAACTTTAATTTCAGCAACATTTTCTATTTTCATCAAGCTTACATAATTAACTAAAACAACTAATTCTAAAAAAATTACTATAGACCTATTTAAAAAATAATAATAAAAATGACTGCTAAAAAAACTGCTAAAACTTCAACTCAAATGAAAATGAAACAAAATAATTTGCGTTACTTGAAATAAAGTAAACCTTAATTGAGAAGTACTAAATGTACTAAAATAACTAAAACTAAAAAAAATTAAGAAACTAAAAAACTAAAACATTTAAAATAGAAACCAAATAAAATTTTAAATTTTTTTAATATATATATTTTTTAATATATATAAAAAATAAAAAATGTATAAAAAATATATAGACTAAAATAAAAATGACTAAAACTTAATCTCAAATTACAATAAAAACAAAAAATCTTAAAATAAAAAATAATTCAAAATATTAGCAAAACACTGTAATGGTATCTCAATGATAGTGAAATGACACTGCTAGTAAATGAAGCGGTGACTTACGCCATGATGCCGGACAAATGAAACACCTCCGCTGACAGGTAAGCCATGTAGCTGTAGACGAAGACGAACAGAGGCTCGATGACGCGCGTGTGCGAGGTGAAGCGGGACGTGAAGGCTGCCAGGATGCCGTAGATGGCACCCACCACGATACCGCCCAACGACACCACCAGAAAACACACGATACCCAGAAACACATCCATGACAGTGATCGAGCCCACACTGCTGTACTCCTCAAAGAGATGATACAGCACCTACAGACAGAACACCAGGAAGTGTGCATCAGAAATGAACAGCATCCACAGCATTAGAGCCACAGGCAGCTTAACAAAACATACAGGCCTGGTTTCACAGACACGGCTTAGTTTAGGCCAGGATTGTCCATAGTTCAATTAGGACATTTCAGCATCTTTTAGAAATGTGCCTCAGAAAAGAAAAAAAGCATTACTGGTGTGCATCTTGAGACAAATTAATGGCACTGACATATTTTAAGATCAGTCAGTGCAAGCTGCTTTCAGTTAAAAGAGCTCAGACATGCATTTTAGTCTGGGACTAGGCTATTAAGCCTTGTCTTTGAAACCGGGCATAGTGTTAACAATGGTATTAAAATTAACATTTTATAATTTCAATTACATTTTTTAGTTAACAATTTTAATTAATATTATATTTATATAAAAAATTTTTTTAATGTATTACTATTTTTAGTTAACATTAAAATTTAATTTTTGAGCAATATATATATAATTTATTAATGATATATTATAATGTATTATAAGTGATATTTTTTAATAAACCATTATAGTCAATTATAATAAATAGTATATATAATTTATTTGAATGAATATACCGTATATTAGATTAAATAATATATATGAACAACACATTTTTTATTTATTCTAATTATACTTCATTATACTTATTCATAATATATGTTAATTAATATACAGTATCAGAAGAATATATATACACACACACCCACACTTAATATATTAATTGAATCAATTATAATGATATATTTCTTATTTGCATAATTAAATTAAATTATTAAATTGACTCGCAGACGTACATAAATAAATATAGTATTACTATGATAAAATATATTTTATTTATTTACATTTATTTAAATTATATCAATTCTTTCATTTATTATTTATTTATTTATTTAGTTAGTTAGTTAGACAGATAGCTAGTTGGTTAGTAAGTTAGTTCAACACATTAGCTAAGACTGCATCACAAGGTTTCTTGCTTAAATTTACGAAAATTTGTAAACATCAAGATTTAGTATTTTTTCCTCGTGCGGAGATACACAGAATTAGACTTTATGAAGTGCATTAAATATTATCAGATCCTTTTGTCCTTGTGCAAAAAAACTCAATAAACATTTATTTACTGCTTCCCAGTGGAGTCGTACAAAGCAGGACAACCAATACTCCTCAGATTAGCAGAGGAGGACTTCACTGAACACCTGATGTCATGTTTGACTTCTTTCATTGATCACCTCTAAGTGTGATTTGTTTCATTGACCACTCGAGACAGAAGCTCACTGAAAGCACGAGGTCAAGCAGTCAAGGAAAAACAGTTGAGGTAATGGAAACGAGACGCCTCTTCACAAGACTCAATCAGCTGATAAACTGAGCTGTGAGAGGGAATTCTCCCAGAGAGAGAAGGACTGGAACAATCCCATAGATTATACAGAGACTAGCGGCTGATCGATAGAGAGCTACAACAGCCCAGGCAGGACACAATAAATGACATACTGCCAATAACTAATATAAAATAATAACACCATTTAATTAAAATGACAATTAAATTAATTAAAATAAAATTACATATTAATATTATGAGAGTAAATTTCAATATAATTATATTCTAAATATATACAAACCAAACACCAATGACTTGTACATATGGGTGCAGACATTTTAGACACTTCCAAAACTGTTGCAGCAGAGATGAAAATACAATTTTTAAAGACATGAATTGTTTCCATCTTTGTTGCCACAGTTTTGGAAGTGCCTTTTTCTGTTCTAAAGAAGGATGTGTCCCAATACTTTTGTCCATATAGTGTATGTACAAGTCATTGGTTTTTTGGCTCAAGGTCTGCATTTAAAGTCACACCAGAGGTGTTCAGCTGCTTTCTGCAGACCAGCCAAGTTCTTCCACACTGACTCAATCAATCATTTCTTTTTTTAACCTTGCCTTATACACAGAGGCATTGTCATGTTAGAATAGAAAAGGGTCCTGTCCAAACTGTTGCTATAACATTAGAAGCACACCATTATCTATAATATCATTATATGCTTAAACATTAAGATCTATCTATCTATCTATCTATCTTAAATAATTTACAAACTATATTATTTGAAAATAAGAATATTTTTCTCATATATATATATATATATATATATATATATACACATATTTATATATGACATATATATAACATATATACAAACACACAGACATTATACACCAGGGTTCCTCAATAGGCGGCCCGCGGGTCACATCCGGCCCTTGAGAGAAAAATGTTTGGCCCGCGCTAATTTAAAATAATGTGGCATGAAAATTCAAACCCAGCACCAGACAGCGACATTAGTCTGACACCGTGTCTACACCGGGCGCGAGCGGCGCGGCACGACGCAACAAAATACAATAGAATCCATTATAAACAGTGATGCTGTCTACACTGGATGCGGAGCGGCGCGACACGACAAATCCCCAACAGTAAACAGATCCCTCGTTCTATATATGACGTACTGCAGTGTTGCCAAGTCCGTGGTTTTAGTGGGCTGCCGCGTGTGTTTTTTTTCATGTCCACGGGTTGAAGCGACCCCAATAACGTGATATTTATGTAATATTTAACCCCTGGAATGCGAATTTTACCAGGAGATAAACAGTTATCCCTGAATAGTTTTGAGTGAGTGAGTGAGTGACTGACTGACTGATAGCATCTTTGTTATAAAACACACGTGTTGGTTCACATTGAGTTCACAATTTTAACGTAGCCTACCACAGTTTTGCTTTGATTTATTTTCAAGATCTGAGGTAAAATATCTGTTGTTGCTTTCAGTATGGCTATAAAGGTCATGCAAAATAATATTCAAACATTAGACACTTTTAACATTGAATTAAGCACATAATCATTAAACTATTATCAGCTGCAAAATCGACGAAAATAGAAACCGTTTCGAAAATAGAATCCCCTGTCGCGGGTGGTTAGGACAAAAACTACATGGAAAAGATACCTTTTATCAGTCTGGAGATGAGCAGGAACAGTTGACTTGCATGGCAGACATGAAGATCCAGATTTTTAGTTTGTTCATTTGTTTTTTAATATTAATATTAATTTAATATTAATTACAATTTAAAAATGTTCATAATTGTTTGAACAAAATAGACTACTGGGGGGAAAAAAATCTGAATATTTATCTTATGACTCTTTAAATAATATATTGAGGAACCCTGTTATACACACACACTTACATATAATTAAAATAATTAGAATAAATAAACAGTGATTGTATACAAATATATTATTGATTATTTTAAACCTTAAATTATTTATCTCTATATGTCTGTTAATTTTTGTATAGATGTATTATTTTTTTAATTTATAGCTCACACACACACAAATAAATATATAAATAATTAGAATAAATAATATAAACAAATACTATTTTTTTTTTCATAAGCTCAGTGTACTCACCACAGTGACGGCGTCATTAAGTAAAGACTCTCCGAACACCAGGATGTGGAGCAGCTCGTTAATATGGATCTCCTCAAACACAGCCAGAACAGCCACGGGGTCCACAGCCGAGATGATGGAGCCGAACAGCAGGCACGACAGCAGGTCCACTGTCACCAGTCTATGGCCCTCCAGCTGGCAAACGCCGTACAGCAGACCACCAACGAAGAAGGCATTCCAGAGCGTTCCCACCACTGCAAACATGAGAATAGTGCCCAGGTTCTCAGTGAATTGCCGTATGGGCAAGAAGTAGCCGGCGTCGAGGATGATGGGAGGCAGCAGGTACAGGAAGAAGATCTTGGACTCCAGCACCGGAGGGATCTCGCCTACCAGCTTCATGAGACCGCCGACCAGCAGGCCCACCACGATCAGCAGACAGCTCTCCGGCACGATGGAGGACAAGCGAGGGATCAAGTGGAACCCTGAAAGAGAGTGAGGGACATGGATGCATCAAGACAGGACAACTGCAATCATTAGTCATTCATATAATTAGTGACGCTCCAAAAGTCTTTTTTTTACCAGAAACACAGAAACCAAAATTTTCCAAATTTTAACCAAGCGTTAACCACTACTTTTGCCGAAATTGCAAAAGTAATACATTTTTGCTGTTCCGGACAAATATTTTTGGTTGCGACAATTTCCCTAAATTCATCACCAAATCATCACTAATATAATATAATATAATGTAATGTAATGTAATGTAATATAGAAGTGAACTGCTGGAAGCAAAAGAAAAGCACTTTATATTCAGTAAATCTGATGATTAATGCAGTTTATAGTCTCACTTTGGTGTTTGGCTTCAGTTCTCTGTACACTAATTAATATTTGGATTAACATATACATTAATTACAATTGGACAAATTTGGCCCATTCCATGTAAATTAGATTTATGGCAATTTTGAATAGCCAGTTTATGGCAATAACCAAATGAAATGCTCATGCGGTGTAGAGTCGCAGCAGAAACGACATCAGTGTGAAAACTCAGTGTGATCCTGCAGTTGCAGCTGCGCTGATGCTCTGCTGACATGAGAAACCGGTGTGAACCTCAGAGCTGCAGAATGATGTCAAAAGTGTCGGAGCCTCATGACAGGGTCACAATCAAGAGTGTGTAGTTGTGGGAAAAAAAAGGTCACATTTCAGCCCTAATGCCAGTTAAACTGCTTACCTGAGAGCCGAAAACATTTCAACACACTTCCATTCTATCATCTCTGGTTTGTCATAAGCTTTGTAAGGTTATTATGACCGGTGATAGGAAATCTGTCTATGGAACAGTGATGCATCTGAAATATATTTAAAGACTGACGTCGTCTTCATTTCAACTGAAGAAAGTCACTACAATTATCTACGTAAGCACATACGCAGATCTGTGACACGACAACAGTCAGCAGAGAGCAGGCCCTGGAGACGAGCTCAATTAAAACCTCTGAAAGGCCTTCGCAGGGAGTAATGGATCTTCTTATAATGGCTCTGGTCTTTCGTTTCTCCAGCTCAACCCAGAGGTCAACATTTAGCTGGTTAACATTGTACAGTAGCTACAACATTAATGGAGGAAATAAGCCTGTTCCTCCACTGACAGCCATACAAATATTATGCAATCAACATAACAGTTTTGTATTAATTTGTCTATATGCACATGCATCAGAAGTAGGGATGCACCAAAATGAAAATTCTTGGCCAAAGCCGAACGAAATGAAACACTGGACCGAAGGCCAAATGCCGAATACCGAACACGGTTTTTCACATTTTTTTCCCCCATGTAGGCCTATTTTGCCACTTTTTTTCACCACTGCATTAATTAAATAGCCAAAATGTGCAAAATGTTTTGTCCTGCTTTTCAAAAAAAAAAATCAATTACAAAACAACAATTTAAAAATATTTACTTAACACTGAACTTTTTTTTTTTTTTTACATTCTAGCAGACATTATACCAACAAAGCACAATTTAAGTTAGTAAAATAATATTTTTTGGCCATTTTTGAGACTTGAATCAGGTATGTATTTTTTACTGTACAAATAAAGGCAGCCTTGCTGAGCAGAAGATAATTATTTTAAAACATTAGAATATATTACAGATCCCAATTTGAACACTATGTGTGAATGTTATAATAAATGTATTAATAGAGCTGTTGTAGGGTCATTATTATTATTGTCTTACTTTTTATTTCATTTTACACAACAACAGTAAAATTACAATACTATCATTTATGAATGTTGGAGTTGTTGTTTTTTCTCGGCTTTTATTTTGGCAGAAACCCGCAGGAAGATTTCAGTGCTTCTTTTCGTTAACAACAGCATGCAGATTTATAAATGATTCTCATTACGAATTTGGGAAGATGTTTGTCGCACGCATCACATTGTCACATGCCTTTAAAAAAAATTTATTTTCCTCGCGCTTTGGACTTTGAACCCTGGCGCCGCGAGCTCGTGCAGCGCTGTTTGAATACATGCAATTCGTGCGTGCATTAGAAAATATATCATTCTGCAGTTTATTTACTAATCGTTTGAGGCCATTTCACAATTTCAATCATCATACAGTAGCCTAACCACCAGCATCAGCCACCTCTTCTTCTCATCGGAGACAAGTGATGCAGCACTAAACAGTCTCTCGCTGTCTGTGCTTCGTGCTTGTAATGAATTCTGCGTCTTTCTCTGAAAGTTTTAAATACTTTCACACTGCCGACATGTTTTGCTGCATTAATGTGTGCCTCTATTTGATCGTGTTAGTCATTGTTAGGTACATATTATTCAGCCTTTTTGCTTATTCGGCTTATTGCATAATTTCGGTTGCCGAATATTCGGTGCATCCCTAATCAGAAGGATAGGAAGTATTTTTTCAGTGTTTTGTTAAAAGTGTCCTGTTAAAAGTAGTAACAAGTTTAACAACCTGTGGTTTGTTACATTCTGTAAAAGAACATTTAAAAAAGTCAAAACAAACTAATTGTAAAATAAAATAATAAAATAAATAACATTGGCTTAGTTTTACTAGTTTATCGAAAAAAATTATAAATAACTAAATTAAACAAAAAAATAAAATAAATAGCTTCCCCTTAATTTTACTGTATTATCAAAATTACAATATAATATAATTATTAAATAAATAAATAAATCACTTCAGTTTAGTTCCACTGGATCATCAAAAAATTACATAAAATAAAATAAATAAATAATAAATTAAAAAAAAAACTTATTTGGCTTAGTTTCACTTATTTATCAAAAATAAATAATAAATCAATAGTTTCTGCTTACTTTAGGAACATAATATAATAAAAAAAAATCCAAAATTTACTCAAAAATAAATAAATAAACAACCTCACCTTAGTTTCACTTGTTTATAAAAATATAATAACTAAAATAAACAATTAAATAATTAAATTAATAAATAAAAAATAAACAACTTTTCTTAGTTTCATGGCATAATCTAAATAACATAAATAAATAAATTCAGTTTAGTTTCCCTGGATCATAAAAAAATTACATAAAATGAAATAAAGTAAAATAAACAACTCTGCCTTAGTTTCAATTGTCTATATATTGTTTATGTAATAAATAACTAAAATAAGCAAATAAATAATTAAACAAATAAAAACTAATAATTTATGCTTAGTTACACTGCATTATGCAATTGCAATAAACAATAGATTTAGTTTAGTTTCAATGGATCATTAAAAAATAAAATAAGAAAATAAATAAAAACAAAGCACTTTATTTTAACTGTTTGCAAACTGCCACATGGCTATTTAATATATAAACAATTTTTAGTAGACGTTGAGGCAAAAATAACTATATTATGGCAGGGTTAAGGTCTTTGCACACTGAGTCCAAAATTCTCGTCCGAAATTTTCGCACATTAAAAAATAAATACTACCTCACATTTACACACTGCCCCCAAAACTTTCGTCTGTCATAAATTTTTTTTTTTTTTTTTTTTTTTTTTTAAATCAGATCAGTTTCAATTTTCTGCATTTTCGCATCCGTAGCAAGCATTTTGATAGGAAAGGATGATGAATACGGAAAAAAAACGCATACGAAACTTTCGGACACAGTGTGCAAGGACCTTTACAGTGATAAAGAATTACTCACACCCTGATAAGACTGTGCTCATACAGCCCATCCCTAGAGCAGCATTATATAAAAATACACAAAGGAGTGACAGCAACAGGACAAAACAGCAGAGTCAGAATCCCTCAGCTATTATGAGGTGATTTGACCTTCACATTGGCACTGCGCCCGTCGTGAGGCCCCTCAAACAGCCAACAATGAGCCCCCAGGAGAGGCTGTGAATTATTCAGAGCCCAGGGTGACACGCGTCTTCTGCTGGCACGTGTGCAGAGACGAGAAAACAGCGTGAACATGCTACCTGCGTTCAGTGCACCAACACACACTGAGCACATCCAATTAAAAACGCTCGTTAGCACATAACAAATGTCAACATCTCACCGCTACAGAAATTAAGCCTTCATGCAAGCTGTGATCTAAATAACTCATTGACTTCACATGTTCTCGCTTTTTTACACAAGCCTTGCCTTGAAGTGGCAAGGGAACAAAGTTAATAGCTGGAGAGATGAGGAAAAAAGAAAAAGATGGATGAAAGGCCCCAGAATGTACACTTTCCTAGCAATATCTTTTTCCCAGCAGTCCACTTTTAGTTAAGGTTTCTTGCCCCAAAACAGCCCCTTATAACCTTGGAATTAATTAAAAGAATGTTCTGTAACTTTAAATGGACTCAGTAAAAATTGACGAACTATGCAGTGCATCAAAATCTTCTGCACACAAAATGATCACTTAAAAAAACACACGTATAAACTCAATGTAAACGTTCTCTGATCCAGTGTTTACATTTTCTGTTTTCACTTCACCTCATTGTTTTGGTTTAAGTTTTAGTAATTTTGTTGTGTTTTTTAAAAATGTTTATATAGTATTTTTTCATTGTTATATATTTTAAATTAGATTTTATTTTTATGTTTTCAGTTTTCACCTTAATTTTAAAGTTTTAATCATTTTGATGTGTGTTTGTCATTTTTATTAGTTTTTCTTTTTTTATATTTTACTTTATTTCATTTTGGTTACTGTTTATTTCAAGTAACAAAAATGTCTTCGTTAACTAGAACTACCCTGTTTTAGACATTCTTAAACATTCTCTGCAAGACCTGCTCTCTCAGCAGACGTTTATGTGCATCCACTCAAGCAGCTCTTGTAGGAATCTGACGGCATGCATGACAAAACTGGAGACTGTTCCTCACAGCTTTACTGCTCTACTAAATCACAGCAGAGGACTAACAATCACACAGACTGAACAAGGACAGATCGAGTGTGTGCTCTTGGCTCAAATCCACACTAAATCACTGGGCATCACATTCAGGAGTTCAGGGCTCGCAAAATTTCAAAATCCCTGGTAGCCCTTCGGGCAGGTACTCTTCAGATTTTGGTAGCCCGAAAATTTATTTAACTAGCCCAAATAAAAAAAAAAAAAATTTTTTTTTTTAAATATAGAAAATCAGATAGA